TGACCGACGGCGTGCTGCGGAGCTTCCGCGTCGCCAAGGTGTTTCGTGAGAACTCGGACAAGATTAACTGCTTCGACTTCAGCCCTAACGGCGAGACGGTCATCTCGAGCAGCGACGACGACTCCATCGTGCTCTACGATTGCCAGGAGGGCAAGTGAGTGCGGCGGTGGCTCCGGGCCCGGGTCTGAGTCCCTCCCTCTCGTGGTTCGCCCCGCTCCCCGCGACTCCGGCCCACGGCCTATTTTGCACAGCCTCCTGCCAGGGCTGCCTTCACGCTGAAGCAGTCCAGGAGACCGTTTCTTTTTTTTTTTTAAAAAAAGTAAAGATAGTAGTAATGATAGTATTATTTTGTATGTCTCCGGTCTCTTCAGAGGGCGCCTCTGCATCTCTTGGCAAACCCCACCTTGACCTTGACCTTTAAGCGCCGCGCCTGCCCACCCAGGCCCCCGCAGGTCGTTTTCCGCTCCTCGTCCTCTGTCAGAGGTGCTTGTCGGCTCCGTCCCCCGCGCAGAACCGCGGAGGCTGCTCTCCCGCCTCATGCAGCAGCTCGCTGTGCCCTCTCGTAGGTGACCTCGATTCGGCCCTGGCACTCCGCCCATCCCGGGTCCTTCAGCTTCCCGCGGCCTCTCTGCTGGAAGGCCGCGTGGGTTGCAGTTCTTAGCGGTCAGGATTTATTTGTTGTGCTTTCTTTCCTTTCTGTTCCAAATCATGCTCATACTCCTTCAGACCCGATGCTCACGCTTATAAGTGAACTTTCTAGCAACACCTGAAACTTTTCCCTTTTGCCAGACACAAACGAACGTGGCCGTCCCATCCCGACCTGAATGTGAACCCCCCATTAGAACAAAAGAAACCATCGTATAACAATTTCGTGTTTCCTCTTATGCTTTTTTAAAAAATTACACTTGATAGTCTACTTGGAATTATCAAAATTCCGAGTCCAGTCTGATCATGAAATTTATACCTTGCCTCAAGTCCTCTGGAGACCTACTACACCTGGTAAGCCCAGCATTTTTTGCCTTTTTTTCCTGGGGACCTTGTCAGCTTCAGCTGACCCTGTAGACTTGCTTTCTTTTAAGTCCTTGCTAAATTGTGAGCCCCTTTGGAGCAGAAAACTGGTTTAGGCTAAATTTTATTTCCTTTCAGCCACCTTCTCCAAGTTTGGTTTTGTCAGACTTCATTTTGTTGCCTAGTTCCTTCCAGATCTTATTTTTTGAATCTTTGGGTTTTTCCTCTGTCTTCTCCAGCTGTTCCTTTTGCCTTTAAAAAAAAAAAAAAAAAAAAAAAAATCCTGATGCCTTCTGTAAACTTTCTTTTGAAACTTGTCTCTTCGTTTGTGAGTTTAGTTATCTAAATTATGTTTTGGTCTGGGCCATAATGTTCTCCCCACTTTTTTCCCACTGGGGCTATGAAAGAGTATTTTGTAACTAGCTCTGGATCTGCCTGCTCTAGGGTGGCCTGTAGTGGTGGTCCTGGGGGAAGAGAATTTGTTAGCTGGACCAGTGCTGAGTTATTTTGAGTCCATTTAATTCATTTAGTATATGGATTTCTGTTCACATCTGGCTACTTGAATCAGCTTCAAAGAGAGTAACAGAAAGATGGGGTGGGGTCTGTTGCGGGGTTCTGGAGCTAGAAGTAATTTGAAGCTAGCTTACTTGAAATGTTTAGTGCTTGTGCACAGATTAGAACCTCTCGCGGGAACCCAAGGATGGAGATGTATATCCTCATTCAAAGGAAATAAAGGTTATGATAGTATTTTTTTCATAGTTTGTCTTGTAATTTCCACTTGTTGGGAGGGATGACAGTGACTTGAAGTCCTGGCTTGTTAAAAGTAAAATGTTAATTTTATGACATGCTGTAGTTTATTCACTCAGGTAGCATTTTTACATAATTACAAACTTATAAAAAAGTCACAGCAGTGTTCCAAAGAGCTCCCATGTGATCCAATAATTGGCTACATTTTGCCCCATTTCCTTTATTCTCTATGTACATATTTATACATGTGCATTTTTTCCCTAGAAGTTGGAGGTATCAAGCCCCTTTATTCCTAAACACAGATTCCCCTACAACATGGTTTTCTTAAGCCATTCTCTTATATAACCAGAGCACAGTTATCCAAATTAGGAAATATAATATTGATACAGTAGCATAGGGCATGCTTTAAAAATTTTTCTCATATCAAATAATTGTGAACTTTTTTCATTGTGATCTGTGGCAGGAGAGTAGCCTGGCAGTTAGAAGACCTGGGTTCTAGTTTGGTCTTGTGACCAGGTATGTAACATGGGTCACATCACTTCTGGATATTAGATGATCTGTTTAGCCTCTTGGAGTACATGATCCTAAGTAGTAGTGTTAGGAAAAAATTTGCCACTAGTGTGGGTCAGATCAACATTAGGAGAAAAATAAAGTTTCCTTGTAAGGTATAGTATCTTTATTAGATGGTACTAATATTAGAATTTGGGAGTTTGAAAATGGCTAAAACAATGTTCTTCATGCTTAATGTTTTCTGGTTTACTGTTCATTTAAACTTTATAATGGATTTCATCCATAGTGTTTTTTTTCAACTTGAGAGAATGTGAAGGATATTATCTGTAGTAGGTGATGCGAATTATTCAGAGAGAAGGCTTTAATATTATTTATTCATACTTGATCACCAGAATCGTAGTTGGTGGAGAGAAGCTTACCAAAATATTTGTGAAAAATATGTTGTTCCTGGGCTATGTAAAGATCCTCTGAAATGAATGCAATACATTAGAATCTTGCTTTCAAACTAGGAAATGATATGTGGTGAATGATTTCTGTTACTAACAACAAATCTCAGGTTAGTGTTATTGATAAATTTGAGGCAAATACACCACACACTAACATTGGCTCTTTGGGCTCTACTATTATAGATAGACTGAAAGACTGGTATAAGTAAACTTCTCCTGTCACTGGTAGAGGCAAAGAAAACTATGTTTTGAGAGCAAGCACATGCACAAGCTCATACTCACTCGTTTACTCACTCACTGGTTACCACCATACGGTAAGTAACCCCAGTGCACAACCCTGGACAGTGGACCCAACTAGGTAGCCTCTGAGCTGATCTTTTTAGCAGATGTTTCAGTAATGGTAAGAACGTGGAAAATTCTGTGCATTTGGAGTGAGAAGTCTTGTTTGGAAATATGTTTTATGTGGGGAAACCCTTAACCTCGCTGACATTAACAAATATTGAAAGTGCAAATGATTGACTTCTTAAAGCCGCTTGTCATCTGATTGTTTAGCATTTATGTGCCAAGACAATTTTGTATTGACAGTGTGAACTTTTTCATAAATTGGAACTCTTGGTAAACATTGGTACAGGATTTATGAAATCCTCCTACACCTAAATGTAGGGCTTTATGAAGTTTTTAGTTAATGATTTTGCCGACTTCAGTTTCAGCTTGATTTTCAGGCTTCTGTAGAGGAAGACATTTAAGGAACATCAGCTAATGAATTGGTATCCTCTAGCTTAGAAATACATGATTTTACATTAAAGTAAAAAGAAAACAGCCAATGACTAGTTTTGCTAGGGAGAGTTAGGCTTGCCTTTCAGAAGGTTCAGTAAGTGCTTTGGACCTGTAGGATAGGGAGAATGGATAGCTTCTACAAGAGCAGATTATATTACGAAGGGTAAACAGTAAGTTCTGGCCTCACTGGTTTGATGTATTTACATATCCCTCTGTTATCAGGATGACATGTATTGTTTTTTGTGCCTTTCTTCCCAAATAGATGTACTTTTTCTCAAATCTAAGTTTTGAACATTGTAGTAAAGACTGAATTGAGCCCTCAGATTCACTTCTACTTCCTAACCTTGGCATTTGATGTGCAGAGGTGAAAGGCCGTTGCACTTGATTGATTCCATCTGTTTCTTCCCTTTTGGAAGAATTTCTATTTCTTTCCAGTGTTAGAGCTTGCCAGGAATCCTCACCCTTGCCACATCATTCAGATGCTTTGCTTTTTATTAAGATCCCAGATTTTGGTGATGGAGGATTTTGATGGTTTTATTTCTCTGTCCATTTCCTTATCAGACCAAAGAGAACCCTGTACAGTAAGAAATACGGTGTGGACCTCATCAGATACACTCATGCAGCAAACACAGTCGTTTACAGCTCTAACAAAATAGACGGTAAGCAAGCTTTCTTTTTAGGAGTTAATGGTCATGGTTTCCTTTGTTAAATAGTTCACGGAATCTTTGTGACTACTTCTGTTTTGGCTATAGTTAATTTAAATATTTTCCTATGATGTTAGCAATGCTAACATTGTTATGACTGAAAAGATGCTGGAGGCCAGCCACTATTGCTTTTGAAGGACTTGAAACTGAGTATGAAAGGTCTTCAGTTTAGAATGGAAAGTGGAAATAGGAAGCAACAAATGGTATTTATGGTTTGTACTTCTTGAAACTTAAATACTTTTAGAACAAATAAAACGAAAGAATACTTGACACACAGCAAGTGGTAAACAATAGTACCTCCCATTCAAAATATAGAGATTTGAGAGAAGTTTTCACAAATGCTTTAGCTATGATAGTTTAGGGGATCTTGGAAGAGTTTTTGGTGTACGCCCAATCTTTTATGGTCTGTGTCATCAAGGACAGTGTGCTGATCTTGGTTATCTTTGATACTGGGGACATTTTTTGACCTGAACTTTATCCTTTTTCCCCTTTTTACTTTTAAATAAAGCTAATGTCTTTGAAGAGTAAAGTTATTTTTAGAAATTAAACTTGTGAATTTCTTTCTCTAATAAGTGGTCTCTGTTTTTACCTGCATTTTACTTGATTAAGTTGTTCTCAGTTGACAGATGATCTTGGTATTGAGTGATAACATTTTCATGTTAGGACTCCTTTTTAAAACAAATTAACTTATCTCACTGATTATTGATTGTTTCACTTTTTGCAGTAAGATTTTTCTAATGTCATTCAACAAAGATTGCTTAGACTGTTATTTTGGCTATGCCTGTCTCAGCTGATGGGCAGAAGTGTTTTTTATGCGATTTTTCTACCTGTGCTTGACTTTTACTAAGTATATTATCTCTATTTTTCATACCTGTATTTCAGAAGTGGTTTTCTAAGTAAGCATGCATATGATGCTTTTGGACAAGAATATATAAAACATTAGGATCCTGAGAAAACATATCTATGTGATCATCTGCATGACTGGTATATTTCTTCTGTTGGGGTGTTTTTATGGGTGGTTATATGAGGACTGTCCAAATGTGGTTCAAGATGAGGCAAATGTGTAGCACTTGCAGCTTTGCTGCCAGGCCTCTGCTGTGAGGATGTTGCCTTTCCTGTCTTGAGTGCATCCTGAAGAGTTCCTCCAACGCTTCGTTTCCTTTTGCCTGATTCCAGGCTGAGGTAGTAGTTTGTACAGTTTGAGGGTCTATGATACCACCCGGTACAGGAGATAACTGTACAGGCCACTGCCTTGCCAGGAACAGCGCGCCAGCTACCAAGTGGGGCGGAGAGGATGGCGACGCCCTGCTCATCTCTGGGAAACCAGGTAATGGGGAGGAAGCCTTTTTCTGCTTAGGGAAGGTGAGTAGCTCCTAGCAATAGAACGAGGAAGGCTTTGTAGTTGTTATTCAAGAATTTTGAAGATATATTCAAGGGAAACCATGTGAAGTTCAGTTTGGGAACACAGAAAGAGTACCCTTTACCTCTCCCAGGTTAAATGTCCTCTTACTAGAAAGTACCCCTGTGAACCACTGGGATGACTTGGTGCTTTTAGCATCTTTTTTCTGTGTTCTGTTTTCCTCCAGAATGTTCTTTCTATGCTTTCCTTTCTGCATTTTGACATCATTTTCTATTACCCCTTTCTCGGCAATTATTCCTTATTCATAGTCTTTTTAGGGCAGAGTACTTTCCAGTTCTGTGCTTTATGGCACTTCATTTCCTTCCCACCACTACCTTTTTTGTTTATTTTTTGAGATAGAATCATTTGGTTTTTAAGAATGTCTTATTTTACCCAAGCACAAATCTACAATTATTTCTTTCTTTGATATTGTCAAAATCTCACTGTTCTGACTTGTTTGTATAGTTCATGAGTTTTGTTTTGAATTGTCTTGAGATCTTTTAAACCCAAATTTTTTCACTTCTTTTGGCCACTTTATTATTATTATTTTAAACTAATTTCTCTGATGCACAAGTGACCAGTGGATAGTTGGTTAATTAGAAAAGAAGTAGTAGAACTTTACTTCTCTTTCCATTTTGTTTAGTGTTAATGTAACTAAACATTGACAGTTATAAATATCCAGTTAACATTGAAGTGAGGTCATTGCTCTATAGTCTGTCAACTTAACTCTGCTTTTGAATTATGTCAAATCTGTAGTGCCCTCTTTTCAGCTGTGGAAAGGAATTATTCACTCTTCACACCTGCTTGGGTTATGGACAGCAGTGAACTCTTTGACCTTGCCTTTTCAAAATGAAAATGCAAAGTAAGTTTCTTGAAAAATAGTAGGATATCATCGTGCCTTGTTTGTCTTCTTACAGATACTATTCGTTACCTGTCCTTGCATGACAACAAATACATCAGATACTTTCCTGGACATAGCAAAAGGTAAGACCCAAGCTATAGAAGTAGATAATTCTTTTATCCCTGAGGTTCCAGATAATAGAAGAATGGAGAGATTTTATCAGTGAACTAAGGCTAGTTCCTCACTGCTGTTTGGCATTCCTCCTAGTCGTCTTTTGTTAACTCCCACCCAGTCAACTCTTGATTAACAGATTGTGGAAGCAGGGATTGGACTTCATGCATAGACTGAAATCAGAGTTAAAACATAATTAGGAAAAAAGGTAGATTAAAGATATTCAGTGGAAACCTATGTAATAAAAAATAGTTAGCATTTAGGAACCCCAAATATCAGATGTCCCTTAATGAAAGGATCTTGTATATAGATGAGGCCTTCCAGTATAGGTGGCCCCATTTCAGCAGGCTTCTGCTCTAGGCAAACATAGTCTATGTGAAGATCTTAATGAGGATGCAAAAAATATTTTGTTACTTTTGAAAGTCAAAAAGCTTGTTTCCTTATTCTATCTGGTAATGGAAGTTGCTTCTCTCTGTCTCCTACTCCTATTTCCCCAGTATTTTTTCTCTGTTTTTTTTCAAGTTTTGGTTGAATGTTAAACACATTTTCCCTTGGATGATATTTTAATCACCAGGAGGGCATTATTTCCTCTTGCTTTCATTTGCAAATGTACAAGTAAGGCTTGGAGTGGTAGAGTACTCTGACAGGAGGTGGACCAAGAGCCAGGCTGCACTCTGATTGCGCAGGGTATTTCTATGTTGCTGAAGGTAAGAGGTGGCAGCTGTTGGTTACTGTAGTTCCAGACAAAGAATGGCTTATGACAAGTAGATGTTTTTGTTTATTTGTAATCAAATTAATGTTCACAAATGTAGTCTGATTGCAGTTGTTCAAAATTCTTTCTGGTCTTTTTAGGTATCCAACCTCTTGACCTCCTGATTCTTAGTAGATGACGTGGTCCCTCTTTTTGACAAAATCAAGGCCATCCAAAATGAGTTCTTTTCAAATTCTCTGTTCACCTAAATTCTGCTCTTCCTTGGAACCCTTTCCTTGAGAAAGGAGTAGCCTTTCTTCCTTGACAAAACCAACTCTCTGCTTTCATCTCCTTAACTGGACTTTTCCTCGCTGTCTACAAACTTACTTGGTCTCTTATCTTGAATCTATTTCTGAAGCCTATCACTCCCTCCCTTTTCACTGTCAAACATGAATAATCTGCATACTCCCATCTCCACCTCTTCACAATTAATTGCTGTTTAAATCACTCTCAGTCTAGCCCCAGAATCATCTGTGGGGCTTTTTCCAAGCTGTTTTACTTCCCTTTCCTTGCTGCCTCATTACAGTTCATTGCCTTGGGTTTTTTTTTGGGTGGTCAACCTCTCAGTAAAACTTTTTTCCCCTTTGGCAGCTGACCCATCTGGTTCTGTTCTTGCTATTCTTGGCTTCTCTTTCTTCTTTGACTCTAAAATAAACAACGTTCTAGCCTAGTCTCTTCCCCTTCTTTTTGGTATTTTTTTCAAATATTTCCACTGATTTCATTCCTCTCTATTCAGATGGTTTTCCAGATCAGTATTTTTAGTCCGTATCTATCATGGTTTCCAGACTTAACTTCCACCTATAAGTTTTATACACACCTATGCAGTTGTTTCTCCTGTGCCCCTACCTGACAGTTCCAACACTCCATCCATCATTGTTCAATTCCTCGGGCCATCTCCTCTCTGTCTACCTCATGTTTCTTTATCTCTCTTCCTATCAATTTTCTGGACTCAAAGCCTCTGTTGTCTCTCTATTCCCTTTCCCCTGCCTTCACATCCAGTGAGATGTTAAATCCTATTGGTTTTGCCTAGCTTTAACCTCCTGAATCACTTTCCTCCCTACTCTCTCTCCATTGCTTCTGTTTTGGCTTATGCCCTTGTCAGGTGAATTATTGTCAAGTCCTAATTAATCTCCCATCCCTCCCCATCCTGCTTCAGCACCCTGTATTACAGTTCTGACCACTTCACAACCTCCTCAGGAAGCCTTAAAGGTTCTCAACATCTGCCTGCTCCTTTCCCTTGGAGTCTGGTTCTCCTCCCTCTGGTCCTGACCCTTTTCTCAGCATTATCTCCCAGTCAAGGTGAATTCAGCATGTGCCTCATGCCTTCCTATCTTGCATCTTCTAGAAGGACATCTCCCATTGAAACCATGTTTACCACAGGTGCTGCTTCTTCCAGAAGGCCTTCCCTGACTCTCTTGGGGTTGTCTGTACTAGATAGTTAAGCTTCCATAGAGTTGAGGTATTCTTCTTCTTTGTATTCCCTGTACCTCTCAGGGTAGAGTCTTGTGCCAAGATCGACTTCCTCTGAGCTATTGTTCTGAGTGCCATGGAATAAAATTACATGTCTGCATTTTGCTCATTCTGTTTTAATATCACCTCGGCATTCTCAAGAAATTGTGGCTTACAGTATCTTTTAAATTTTTAAGTTGGGGAGCTAGTGTAAATGTTAGTTGAGTTATATTGGAATAATTTTTTTTTTTTTTTCGGAAGAAAAATTTAAGGAAAAAGGTAAATTTAAAGAAAAGTAATTTTTCTCATTTTCTATTCACAGCATACATTTTAATTCTTTCTAGTTGAAGCAAAACCTCCTGAACCCTTTCAGTATCATTCAAAACTTGAACTTCCTCTATTTTTAGATTTAAAAAATCCATTCACAGATGAGCTGTGCAATTCAGTTCACCTTTTTTTTAAAGTTTATAATCTGTTTATTTTTTATTTTTAAGACAAATGGGATTCCTTTATGCTGCTTCCATCTTTACTCCCTGCAGTATTTTTCTTCTATCTCTTCAGATTGTCAAGAAACTAGATTTCCTGGTTCAGTTACATATTCAGTCCACATGGTCTCAGCAACACCTCACTGACTCAGGGCTACATCCTTGAAAATGGCTCCAACCCAGTTCACCTTTTTTACTTCAAGCATTTCTTTGTCAAAATGAAACAGTACAGCATGCACACTTCCTATATAATCTTTAAGAAAAATTGATTGATTGATTTTTAGAGAGAGGAAGGGAGAGATACATAGAGAGAAACATTGATTTGTTGTTCAACTCATCCATGCATTCATTGGTTGGTTCCTGAATGTGCTCTGGCTGGAGATCGAACCTGCAACCTTGGTGTATTGGGATGATGCTCTAACCAACTGAGTTACCTGGCCAGGGTTTCTCTATAATCTTGATTTGTGATACCAGCTGCTATATCTATGAAGTGTTTTCCAACCAGGCCAGAATATGGAACTATTCAACCATGATACGCAGAAGGAAGAGCCATCTGAATGTCTTTTTTCACAAGGGCTTTCTCCATAGGTGATAAGGTAGAGTCACAGGCACTGTACAGGTCATAGCTCACTCCTCAAGAACCCCATGGTTGGGGCCATGGCGTGTCTGAAAGGAAGGTAAAGTGGAGCCACATAAATGTGTTCCTTCTCTGCAGGCCAGGCCCAAATGCTGAGGAGATGGAGGGTGTCTTCAGAGCAGGGTGTGGCAGGGCAAGACCACCAGCAGAGGGGACAAGAGAGCTCACGATGAGCCTTTGGAAGAAATGTTTTCCAGTGGGTGATTCTTAATGGTATAACCATATAAAGGGACTTATGTCAGAAATACAGTAGCTGTTACCACAGGCCTGTGGGTCTGTAAGTGTAATGCCCAAACCAGCAGTCTCGTCATCACCTAGGAGCTTGTTAGAAATGCAGATTCTCAGACCTTACCCCAGACCTACTGGATTAGTTGTGGGAGTGGATCCCAGCATTCTGTATTTTAGCCCACCCTCCAGGTGATGCTAATGCCTGATTATTTAGTACATTATTATTATTACTCAGATTTAGATGATTAGTATAGTTCACTAGTTAAGGGATCATGCCTTTTTTTAAAAAAAAATAATTGAGATATAGTTTAGTACCATACATAAATTGATCCTTTCAAAGTAAACAGTTCAGTGATTTTTTTTTTTAAATATATCTTTATTGATTTCAGAGAGGAAAGGAGAGGGAGAGAGAGAGAGAAACATCAATGATGAGAGAATCATTTATTGGCTGCCTCCTGCACGCCCCCAACTGGGGATCGAGCCTGCAACCCGGGCATGTGCCCTGACCAGGAATCGAATCCCGATCGCCTGGATCCTAGGTTGACGCTCAACTGGTGAGCCACGCCCGGCTGGGCTAGTTCAGTAATTTTTAGTATATTTACAAATAGTTGGGCAACTGTCACCACTATCTAATTCCAGAACATTTTTTCACCCCAAAGAGAAACCTTGTACCCATTAACAGTCACTTCCTAGTCCCTGGCAACCACTAATCTACTTTCTGTCTCCATAGCTTTGCCTCTTCTAGACATTTTGTATAAATGGAATCAGACAATATGTGGCCTTTTGTGTTTGTCACCACGTTTCCAAGGTTCATACATACATTCACATGAATCAGTACTTCATTTTTTAATGCTCAATAATAGTAATATTCCATTGTATGGATATGTACTACATTTTGCTTATTCATTCGTTAGTTGATGGACATTTGGATTCACAATTTTTGGCTATTATGAAAAATGCTGCTGTGAGTGTACCTGTACTTTTTTGTGTGGACATACATTTTCATTTTTCTTGTAATTTCTGGGTCAGCAACTCCTAATTTTTCGAGGAACTGTAAAACTTTTCCAAAGGAGCTGTACCATTTTTCATTCCCACCAGCAGTGTATGAAGAAACTTTTCCACATGCTCACCAACACTTCTCTCTCTTTTTCCTGTTGTTTCTTTTAGATGATAGCTATGCTAGTGGTTGTGAACTGGTATCTCATTGTGGTTCAATTTGCATTGGAATCTCACATTTTTATGCTATAGCTTTAAGTTGCTTTTTTTGTTATAATAGTTGCTTTTGATTATAGTAGTATGTAGTGTGTTCCTTAAAATGGCAGTTTGGGGAGAACAGGTTTATATAAGTAGGCCGGTAGAGTGGTTTAGAGTTCACATCCAATTTTTGTAAATATTTGCTTCAACTCCTATTTATCTCGATGCATTTCAGGGTGGTGGCCTTGTCCATGTCACCTGTGGATGACACTTTCATTTCTGGGTCTCTTGATAAGACCATTCGACTCTGGGATCTCCGGTCTCCTAACTGCCAGGTAATGGTACCTCACAGTTACACTTTGAGTGTTTTCTATGGTAGGCACTATCATCAGCTTTCCCTCTCAAGGACTGGGGAAAGCAGTGGTTCCATTCTGGGATCCCAGAGTCTTTTTAAAAAAACTTTGGAGAAAATCTGACTTCCTGATAGGTAGCTGGTAATTAAACAAATGCCCTAATCCACTGCATATTGTAATATGCTCTGTGGCTTACTGCTTTAAAAACAGTTTTCCTGGGGCCTTTTAGCCTGAAGGGATTTTTTATTTGGATTCAGTAGCTATAAAATTACACAGTTAGGGTTGATCTGAAATCAGTTGTATGGAGACCTGTTTTTTAATAAGTCTCATTTCAGTTCTGTAGGTAGGTTGGTATCTGTGTCCCTTTCTTAGTTTTCTTTGGGAAAAGTAAATTTTATGGTAGTTGGATCCTTAGGTTCATTAACTTTTTTTCTTATTTCTTTTTTCTTAGGGCCTCATGCATCTACAGGGCAAGCCAGTTTGTTCTTTTGATCCAGAAGGGTTAATTTTTGCTGCAGGCGTCAATTCTGAAATGGTGAAACTTTATGACCTTCGCTCTTTTGATAAGGTAAATTTTTGAATCTAAGCTATCTTGATATTGTGGAAGTTTTGACGGGTGAGATAAACATTTAAGAACCTTTTGTATTATAGAAGAGGTATGTGGTAGATATTGGAAAGTGTCATACAGTAGTTCATCCTTTTATCTTTTGCAGGGGCCATTTGCAACATTTAAGATGCAGTACGATCGGACTTGTGAGTGGACAGGACTTAAGTTCAGCAATGATGGCAAACTCATCCTCATCTCCACCAATGGCAGCTTCATTCGTCTCATCGACGCATTCAAAGGAGTAGTGATGCACACGTTTGGGGTGAGCTGACAATCTTTGAGCATGGCTATTTCATTGTTCATGCCTCCTGGGCTGAGAATTGTGTTAGCTGGCTAGTGGAGATGAGCAGGTATCTTTGACTCACTGATCAAGGCATGGGCTTACATTTTGTTCCTGCATATGAACTTATTTCTCTTGGATTCTGAGACTTTCACTTCTCACCCAGTGACCCACATTTAGTGTTTAGATACTGAGTAATTCCTGACCATAAACGGTTTCTTGTCTTGAATATCGAGTTGGAGTAGGAGGTGAATGCTAAAGGGTGGTGGCCAAGTTTGGAACCTTGGTGGTGGTGTGAATGGGGAGGAGAGGGTTTCACAGAAAGGAAGGTGATGAGTCTCCTCAGTGTTTCTAGGCAGTTATTTTTTGTTAATGGCACTTTGATAAGAGAACTGTTCTATTTTTTTTAGGGTTATGCCAACAGCAAAGCTGTCACACTGGAGGCCTCTTTTACTCCAGACTCCCAGTTTATTATGATTGGTAAGTGTCCTTTATCCCCGTTGGGGGTTATTTTTCTGGTACTGAGATTTTGTTTATATTATCTTAACTAATTAAGGTATTATTTCTTATCCTTTTGTTAGATGTTTTCAGATTTCTGTGTAGCACAGTATGCGAAAGGTATAGTGTCTTTAAACTTTTCTGACTTTGCAGTTCTTTATGGGAACTGGCATTAATGTTGGTCTTCCCTGGACTAGCGTTAAATTCTACAAGCACCATCTTACTAGTAATACTAACTTTCTGATATAATTCTGCTTTCATTCATCTTAATGGCTAGATGTTGGTAGTGTAATGATATTTAGCCCCCATTTTTAATGAGAAAACCAAAGTCAGAAGGGAAGTTACTTGACTTGCGTAGGAACAAATAACTAGGGTCAAAATCAATTACCAGAGTGTCCTTTCTTTACTACCTCTCCTCGTACTCAATTTCTGCTGAGGGCTGGGTCCTGAGACGTGGCCTCTTTCCAGATGTCAATCTGTGTCCCTTTCCCACTCGTCTTTGTATTGCGCCTTGAACTGTTGGGTGTTTCTTGATTATTCTCTTCAGGTTCAGAGGATGGCAAGATCCATGTTTGGAATGGAGAGAGTGGCATAAAAGTAGCTGTGTTGGATGGCAAACATACAGGCCCAATTACCTGTTTGCAGTTCAACCCCAAGTTCATGACCTTTGCCAGCGCATGTTCCAACATGGTATGTGAACAATGGAAGGTGTCCTTCAGTTGGGTTGTGGGTGTTTCAACGAGCACAGCAAGCTGTGTTCTAGTATATGTGCTGCCGAAGTGAGCACAGCAAGCTGTGTTCTAAATAGGTGCATTACAAGCACCCAAGTTGATGCTTCTCAGCTGGTTGCTTCCCTGTTTCACCTCTTATTCTCTGAACTCTGGTTGGACTGGCCTTTCACTTTTACTCTTCTTTCTGTGATCTTGGATCACCTGTGAGCTCCTGGGAGATCATAGGCCAGTTTTAGCTCTGGCTCCTGGTTTTATGCCCAAACTACCTGGGCTATGCTTGACAGCTTTTTGGCTTCTTTTTTTTTGTTGTTAATCCTCACTTGAGGATATTTTCTCCATTTTTTTTTTTTTTTTAGAGATAGTGGAAGAGAGGGCAGGAGGGAGGGGGGAGAGAGAGAAACATTGATTGGTTTGCCCCCTGCATGCACCTCAACCGGGGCCAGGGATTGAACCTGCAAACAAGGCACATGCCCTTGACTGGAATTGAATCTGTGACCCTTCAATCCAGTGCTCTAACCACTGAACAAAACGGGCTTAGGGTGCTTTTTGGCTTCTTAAAATACTTTGAACAAGGCTTTTGTGGCTGCAACCTTTAAGTTTTCCATTTCTCTCAGTTTATACTGAATTCCTCAGAAATTCTTACAGTTGATCATAACTCACCACTTAGAACTTTTTCCAGGCCCTGTCTCTTCTTAGATAATGCTGGCAGAACAAAGCATCATGAGTCTTAGCTGCCAGGTTCCTCTACGCATCTTCTAAACCTACCTAGGTATTTGGGGATGAGGGACTTCACTACTGGCCTACCCAGAACATGGTGTGCTCCTACCCCCACCCCTATAAAACAGTGTCTGGAAAAAATGCACCAAAACCATCCAGTCCAATTCTGCTCATTTTTTTACCGATCAGGAAGATGAGGGTGTTTCGGAGGTCACCTGGTATATTAGCCTGAGGCCAGGTTACCCAGTTGCCCACCTCCTGGACCGCACTCCTTTTTTTCCTTACCACTGGGTCACTGTGGTGGAAGATAGACTATTTTGGAGGGAAACAGAACCAGCTTGCTTTCACGTAAAGTGGAGTGTTTCTCCATAGATTGCCAGAGTTGGTTGGTTGGGAGGGAGGGCCACCAGCCATAACTCCTCCACCATTGGGGTTGGGCAGCTTGAAGGGGTAAAAGAACCCTCAGCAGTTAAGAGAGATACTTGGCTTTTTAAAGTTGACTTATGTTGTTTTTTCAGGCCTTCTGGTTGCCCACCATTGACGACTGACCATGATGCTGTTTGGCTGTTTCTGTACAGTGAGGGTGGCCAGCAGGAAAAAACTCAGAGGGGACTGAGATATTAGTGGGACTGGATCATTTGACTGGGCCAGAGAGCATCCTTCCACACGGCCTTCCCATGGATGTGCTGTACATCTGCTCAAAAGAAAAAAATTACTTTGCCAAGCTTCTTCAAAAGGACTCTTGGTGCGGCAGATTCAGTTGGGACTCAGATTTTCTAGCCTGTCAATTGCACCGAGCTCCCCAGAGGAGTGACCAGACTAATATTAGGGTATAATGGGCCCTTAAGGCGTCTTCAGTTTTGAATGTATTTGCTGCTGAGGAGCCAGTGAAGTTATTCTGCACATCCCTTCTCCCACCCCTGTAAATGCATGGGAAGCCACAGTTCTGGTTTTGAGATGCTAGAGCAGCTCAGTGCCCCTTGCCCTCACCCTGCATGTCTTATTACTGGGTCTCCCCGTGTTATTGTGGTGTAATCCACAACCATCATGTTACTTAGGTGCCAAACATTTACAAAAATAAGTCTTCATATATCTTGGGGTCAGAAAGGGACAGATACAGAAAGACCTTGCTTGCCAGGAAGCCTTGGAAATTAGTCACTTGAGGGTGGGTGATCTAGACATGCCTCAGGCTCTGGGTTTTGGGTGGGAAAAGGCCCAAGAGCCTGAAAGGGAGGAAAGGGTAGCAGGTGAGTTCCTAGGGCCAGGAGGTTTTAGCCGCAGCCTAGAGTGGTCCCTCGTCATCAAGACAAACCCATGGTCCTCCTGGATGTCTACCCAGGGTGGTCATGTACAAAAGCAAGGTGGGAGTCTATTTTTGTACATGAGATACATCACACTTTCCTGTGGGCCAGTATTGTGGAGTGAGTCTGAGTTGTTTACACTGATGCCTTCCCTGCCCACCACAAATTGTGTACATAGTCTTCTGATGATACCACCCCTTCCCAGCTCTCAACCATGAGCTGGCGCTAGGCCTGTGTTATATGTTATATTTAGCCTTTTTATATATGACCTGGGATTTCTGTTGTTTGTATTTTAGCACAGTGTGTACACCTTCACTTAAATATATCTGTGTATGTGCATACATATATATGTATATGTACATATGTATGCATATACATAAAATACCTGTCATTTCTCAGAGTTTAGCCGAAGGACATGGAATCCTCCAGCCTGGGGGGAAGACTGCATCGTTGCTAATAGTGTTCGCCACAAGTGTTAGTGAGTCTTCCCTATTACATTTTCCCTTCAGGAGACTGAATGGAGCAAAGCTTCAAGTGTTTGCTATTCCCATGGCAGCTATTTGAGGGTCTTGGGATGACTCCCTTGTGTTCTTCAAGCCGCACTTTGGGGCCCTTTCTGCAGTATTAGCCCCCTTTTTTGCCTGGTGATGCTCTGTCTGCACCTATATATGTGTGACAGTCACTCTTGCATGCCTTTTGTGTCTGGCTTACAGTATTTGGGGGCAGGATGCTAGAACCACGGCATTTTCCGTTTGTCTGAGGCTTTACCAATTACAGGTCACTCCTGTTTACCTGTTATGTCTTTCTTGTTTTTTTCCCTTGCCTTCTCTTGGGAGAGGGGGAGGGGTCCTGATCAGGGTTGAGATGAGCTGCGGCTGGCTTATGGCCTTTTCTCCCCTGCATGACCTTCTTAGAGCAGGATGAATGGCATGTTATTTCACTAAATTCCCAAACATTTAAGCAGGTAACATATTCCCTGCACATCCAGAAACAGATTGAACAAGGTGATTTGTCCAAGAGGACTCACCCAAGAATATGTATCTGCTAGGGGGAAAGCAAGCCATTACTGCCTCTGTTCAGCAGCAGGAATAGGCTATGAATTGCAAGCAATTACAGATTTGTTTTAGCAATTACTTTTTTTTTTGGCTAATCCTCATCCGAGGATAATTCTTTTCCATTGATTTTTAGAGGGAGTGGGAGGGAGGAGGAGAGAGAAATATTGATGTGAGAGAAACACGTCGAATGGTTGCTTCATGCCTGCACCCCAACTGAGCTGGGGATCGAATCTGTAACCCAGGTGTATGCCCTTGACCAGGAATCAAACTTGGAACCCTTCGGTGCGCAGGCTGATGCCCTAACAAGTGAGCCCCACTGGCCAGAGCTAGCAATTACTTTTTGATTTGTTCCTGAAACTTAAAGGTCAAGTCTTTCCCAGTGTAGACTAGGACCTGCAGTGTCTGTGATGTCCACTGTATATAGCTCTGCCATTTCAGAGTGAAGGATTTTGGAGTGAAGGGAATTTTAAAGGGAAATGAACTGAGTTATTACTGCCCACTCCTGGCTTTCCAGGGTAGAAAAGTCATGGTAGAGAGTCCTTGGAACAGGGTTAAGAAAACCTGCATAATTAACACATCTGTAACCAGGAAAGCTACCAAGCATAAATTGCCTGTCAGCAGGAAAGTGATTTGTATTGAGTTCCTGTGTGTCCAAAGATGAGGTACCATGTCCTTTGAAAATAGGGACTGCATGGCCTCTATGGGGACCTGTGGCTGCAGAGCTGACTCCTGAGTTGGGAAGGAAAGGGAAAAGATGCAGCTAGAGGTGACTGGAGATGATGTGGTGGTGGGAATAAGGCAGAATAAAGGGAGGAAAAAATGCTGTGCGCCAGAGAGACTGAGGGCTGGGGCTGCAAGGATGCTCCCAGTTGGAGTCCGAGGTGCTTGAGTTCCCAGTGGGGAGGGGCTGCTCACCACTCTCAATTCAGGGCCAAAGCCACTGATTTGTATGTGACAGCTACAACTGCTGCACTGCTCAGCCACCAGCTAGTGGGTTATTATTTTTTTTAATAATAAAACTTCCCTGTTGCAATAATTAGTGCTTATTAAAATTGGGGAATTTTAAAAAGAATCAGTCTGCAACCCTAATGCTACCATTGTTAATCTTTTGGTGTTAAATGTTCCTCTAGACATTTTTGTGTGTAGAATTTTGGTGTGTTTACATAGTTGTTATTCTGTATATACAATTTTATGTCCCTTTTGTACTTAACATAAACATTTTTCCATGTTATTGGTCTTAAACAGAATTTTATGGCTGCAGCCTCTTCCATTGAGTTTCTGTAGCATTGGTTGGTTGGTTCCTATAGTTGGAGGGAAAGATGGGTTGTCTCCTGGTTCACACTGGGACTCGCTTTAATACTGTGTGGATGGATTGATGGGCTGCCTGGGATTGCCCCTGACTGTCCCTGGTAACTAAGACCTGTGGGCTGGTGGGAGGAACCCCTAGACCTAGCCCTCAAGTGCATAGCAGCATGGGTCTCCTCAACCCCAGTCTCTAATAAGCAACCATACAGCCAGAAATGAGTGAATAGGAAAGGCCAGCCTGAGTCAACCTTGATCTTCAAAGACTGCATCTGTCCTGTACCTCAGGCCACCTTTCATCCCCACTGTTGCCTCAGCACTTGATCAGATTGGCAACCTCTAGCTGGAATAAGGTTTGTGCTATTCAGGCCCCTGCTTCTGGGGGGCAAGAATAGTGGGGCCTCTGAAGTTCCTACACCAGTTCCAGCAGAGGGCCTGGCCAATTGATGGGTAACCCACTGCCTGGCTTGTGAGTTGGTAACTCCTAGAGCCTGTGCTCGCTCTATCCTCCTGCTATCTGCCTCATTCATGGGCCCATTACTTTGCCCAGGGTCACTGGAAGTTGGCCAAGGGCTCTGAAGGGCAGCAGAGGGAATGTCCCAGCTTGAGTAGTAGGCCGTGCATAGGCTCTCCCAACAAATTGCTCAAGGTGGAAGAGACCTCCCAACCTGGCGAGAGGGCTGCTGCAGCGTTTGGTCTGCTGAGACATGAATACATAGGTCAGTGTAACTGTCCCTGCCACACGCACTCCTGTCAGGTAGCTTATTGCCCATTGAGAGACCCACTGCACCCACCCCCTTGGCTTCAGCTTTTGGTGTGAGGAGCAAGAGCAGGCAGAGGGCAGGGTTGGAAGCAAAGCAAGTGGGCTCTGGGGATGAGCTGGCTCAGCTGTTGATGTGGGTGAGATGCAGGCACAGGGTGGGGGGCTTTTTGGGCTGGGGACTGAGGTGGAGATTGCTGAGGAAAGAGGAAGTAAAACTGCAGGCTATTTGGGCACACTCCTGCACTTGTGAGGTGCCTGGAGAGGCTGCCCAGGGCTGCTGGGGCCAGCCAGTTTGTCAGGACCCAGCTGTGAACAGACATAGGTCCAGAAGTGCTGGGCTGTGGAATATGACTGAAAAATGAGAAATTTTGTTTTCCCTATCTTCCCTAAAGACTGTATAGGAAATGGGGTCTAAAATGAGTTAATGGGCAGGAAAGGGGGTCTGAGAACCTCCTCAATGAGTTAGTAAATACATGAATTTTACCATCACCTCTGGAGCCTATGGGCCCTTGTCCTTCCTAGCTGCTGTTCTAGGGCTGAGTTGCCTGCTAAGAACTCACCTCAACTGTAAACTAAAGTAGTGGATCAGGGAAGAGCCAGGTAAGGCTGAGGTCATGAAGATTATTGTCTTGTAACTGAACAAATACTTTCCTAGCACCTGAGTCTTGGCAAGTGCTAATGGTAAACTAGTCTTGTGGGGAAGGTGAGGAACTAAGCTGCTCATCCAAATGCAAGCCCTGAAGTCTGCATTCAAAAACAAGTTAAAGGACAGCCCTTCTGGTACCTCAAGCCCAAAGCTCACAGATTGTGGTGGTGACCTCCTTTCTGTCCCCAGACAACAATCCTTTCACTGGGGCTCACCCCAAGCTGGGAACTAGGGGGCCACAGAGAAAAAAACAGTGCTGACTAGATGCAAGCTGTAAGGTAGAGCTAAGACCGATTCTTTGGAAGGTAAAAGTGTGAAAGGTATACTGTATGTAATGCCAACCTGTAGAGCAATTCATGATTCACAAGGGTTTTTCTGCATAAAAACATTTAATCATAGGGAAGTGATGGGGAGCCACAAAACAAAGGCATTATTGGGGCATCAGCCTAGGGTGGGCTGGGGCCTGGAAGGAACAATCTGGATGCAAGGCTAGAGGCAGGAGCAGTAATTGGAGAGAACTCCCCACAGCCCACTTGGGTCCTTGCCCCTTTTTGTTCAACTTCAGCCCCAGGGCCTGCTTCAGGATGGCTGTTCAGCAGATTCAAGGCTGCCCACAACTTCCCATAAGGCTCCCTGCATGGGCTTTGAGGGTTGTTAAGTAGATACCCTGACATTCATGGATTGGAGACTTGGATCCAAATACAGGCTATCAGCCCCTGCCAGCATCCCTGGCTAATTCCCTTAGTCCAGCTGTCCCCACCTGGGAATAATATATCGGGCTGTTAAGGATCCTGTCTGAAGAGCCTCCTGTGGGTGCTGCAAGCTGTAAAATGCCTGCCACAGGAATGTTACTGATAGCACTATTTCCTTGCCTGCCAAAGTGGGACTTGGAGAACTGGGTTGTCGGCACTCTTCAGCTCCTGACTGCCTGGTATAAATAAATGCTCCCCTTGAAATGGGTTGGGGTGGGGGGCAAGTCCTGGGCTGTGTCTGGGGGCAGGGCAGGCAGGTCTGCTATTGACCACAGTGGAGGGATTCCCAGACTGCAACCTGACCCTGAGTAGTTTTGGGATGCCGTGTCTGAATCCTCAGTGGCCATTGCTCCCTTGGCCCTGGGTGTACAAAGGGATCACGAACACGGAGACGTCGTCGTAGGACACCTGCCCTTCCCCTGTGGGACTGCCGTCCTTCCCCTGTGTGCTGTGTATCAACATTTGGGCCAGCTCCGAGAACCTGTGGGGAACATCCTGCAGATATACTCCAAGGCCAAAGCAAAGAGGCAAGAGAACTCGCTGCACTGGGCTAGACACTTGGAGACCCAAGCGATGCAGTCCAACTGTGGGACCAGGCAAGTCACAAATATGGGAGGGCCCACAGATTGGGCCACAATAGTCTAGACCCAGAGACTTATGGGACCCACAGTCATCTCCACTCCATGGCATCTTGAGACCACACTAATCCTGACCACCTGCCCTGAGCCGGGCTCATCATCAGCATTGTCTTCTCAGCCATAACTACTTGGTGTTGCTGCTGGCACCCAGGCCCAGGTAGGTCCCCAGCAGTTACAGTACCTGTGTGGATCCTCTCGATTGCCAGAGAGGAAGCTCCGAACTAGCCATGCCACCTGCTCATTGGACAGGACATCCCAGAGCCCATCAGTTGCCATAACAACCACATCCTCCTCCTGCAGCTGCAACTGCTCCACATCCAGCACTGTCACCTGCAAATTAAGCCTGATGATACCTCAGCGTTCCCTTCCCAGCTCCCACCAGCCTCACTGCCTCTCACCTGTGGCACAGAGAGTAAGAAGGGCTTGAGCTGAATGTTTGTGTCCAGGACTCTGAGCTGATGGTCTCCCAGGCCCCGGGAGACGGCCAGTGTTCCCAGTAACCGAGCCTGGGGACAAGGGAGATGTGAGGTGACACAGCAAACAGCCCCAGCAAATGCACGAGTAAAGCATAGAGCTGGACTGGGGCCCTCAGGCACTCTGGGTTGAGGAAGAAACATCCTGTGGCCTTGGAGCAGACCCTAAGACACCAGCCACAACCATAAGGCACAAAGGAGCTCCCACCTCTGCAGGGAACAACTGAAGAGGGATTCTTGGAGAGGGCTGTTCACTGACCTGCCTACCCTGTCCTTGGATCAGTGGGTACTTGAGATCCGACTTCTCCACGCACTTGTAGCTCCTGCCAGGAGGAGATCCAGTGTCAACCCAGGCCCTACTTCCCACCTCATTTCCCTTCAACACAAGGCCCACCCTGCCCAGGTGGAAGGGGACTGCCCCAGGCCACACAGCTGGGCTTGGACCCCTTGGTTCTCCCCACCCTGTCCCTCCACCCCCACCTTGCTCACCAGCCGGTCATGTGGTAATCCCTGAACAAAACCTTCTGCCCCAAGTCATCCCCCTTCAGTCGCCGAGGGAACTCCAGTCGGGTGAACTCACCAGCCAGAAGCTCAGGGTAGACAAAGGCCTGGGGTAGGGAGGACAAGGTCAGATCAGGCTCTCTCTGGTGGCCCTGCACCCAGGAGTTGGGGCTCCACAGCCTCCTCTGCCAAGGGCACCTACCAGCTGCTGGATCCGTTGTCGCTCAGTCTCTGGAGTGAACTCAGAGCTCAGAGGCCGTACCTCATCTTTTCGCACCAAGATGGCCCTGGATGGGATTGGGGAGGAGATAAGAGAGGTCTGTGGTGGAGCCTCCAACCTCACCCATCGCCTCCCTCCTGCTGGCCCTTCCTCCAACCACCAGGGGCCAGCTCTGCCCATGTCAATTCCTGTTCAAAGCCTTCCATGACTGCCTACAGGGTAGAGGCTCCACCCCATTGGCCTGTGCCCTCCCTGGCATCTGCTGTCCACTCATGCTCCATACACGCCAGATATACAAATAGCTAGTCAAGCCTCCCCATTTCCATCCCTCCACTTCCAGCCCCCTTTCACTGTCCCCACTGCCTCTGGTGGCTGCTTGCCCACCTGCTTCACTCTCCAGAGCTCACTCACCTGCTATCTCCAGCATTGGCCACATACAGCTTCCCCTGCAGGGACACAGCCACCAGGGCTGTGCAGCCACCCACTTGGCCTGAGGCCTCCAGCTCCCGCCCGATCACCTCATCCTGGGGCAAACAGAGGCCACTTTAGCTGCTGCTGGTACTGCCACCATATTACTCTGTTCCCAATGCTCACCCTGCAGTTCACTTCCCCACCAACAAGCCTGGCAGTCCCAGCCCAAAGTCTAGCTATGACTCCAGGATCCCTGTGGTCAGATCTGGACGTATCGCTTGGGAGGGAGGGAAGTCCTACTCAAATGAGTGAGGAAGGGAAACCAGCTCCTGCACCAAGGAGCAACAGGGTGTGCAAGGAGATGATGCAGGTAAAAGCACACAGCATGTAGTAGGCACTGGATAAATGGTTATGATGACGACGATGGCTACTGGATTGTTGAAACCAACCCAATCTTGCCTTCCCAATTCAAACATCGAAGGTGACCACCACAACCCAGAGTCCCTCAGGTCCCTGGGGACAAAACCTTCACTGCTTCTCC